AACGCGACCGCACCACCGACTTGTTGACCTCACCGATAACAGCAGCCGTCCACCTACCTGCAGCCTCGTGCATATTCCCTCTCGCCAATCCCTTGTCTCGCACCTTTACCCAACTGTCCATCTCTGCTTCACTCGCAAACAAGTCAAACGCTCCTTCCTCGCTTTCACATGCGCCTTCATCTACTCTTCAACCATGAGTGTCAGCGTCGAGCGACAGCCGCTGCACTTTAGCCAGCAGCTCTCAAGCCCTTCTCGTTCACCAACCCATCTGCTTCATGCTCACACGCCTACCTCTCCTCAGCCACAGCCTGCTGCCGACATGGACGTGAGCGCCTCCAACAACAACAACACATTGCCACCCGTTGGCCAGGACCACGACCGGACCGATGCTGAGATGCAGGATGGAGACAATCCCACTCATCGCGACGCCTCCACCAACACAGTCGCTGTCGAGATCTCTGCTATAGACGAGGATGCCATGGACGTGACACCGGATGCTGAGCCCGACGCATTACTACTTAATCATTCGTCTTCTGAAGCACAGGATAGTACTATCACTACACCCCTGTCCCCTGTACCAGACGATTCTGTAAGCCTCACTTTACATTCAGTCTTAGACTTGGGTGTTTCAATGGACCCAACACTAACACACAACCAGGCTGAGGCTCTCTCAAACGCGATCCCCCCTCCACCCGTAGACCCTGGCTCTGTGCCTCCGCCCGCCCCTCTCAACCTACAGCCCCCGCCTCCCCCACCCCCCGTCGAACCCGCACGTTCCGACACGGATTCTTCAGACGAGGACGAAGAGCATTTGCCATGGCACCCGCTTCAAGAAGACATGTCTTCGCCCGATGAAGACGAACTCAGGTACATCGAAGAGCGAGGCGAACACAGCGCCTTGGACCACGAATACTGGGAGAAGGAGGCCTTCAAGCCGCTCGAAGATCCGGAATACACTGCGGGCGAGGCGGGCCGCATCCACTGGGCCATTAATACCTACAACGGAACACGGGAGAAGCCCAATCATGAAATTCTCATGAGATCCGATGTCGTCACCATTGGCGGACATCAGTGGCAGATCAAGTTCTATCCTAAGGGGAATGACTCCGAATACCTCAGTGTCTATCTGGAGTGCTTGAGTGTCATGGATCCAAAGGACAAGGGCGACCAAGAAACTGCCAACGACGCCCCAACACAAAACGTTAGTGAGCCAAAAGACGAGGAGAAGTCTGGCGACTCTACGGTATCTACCGAGAATACGTCAGACTTCGCATCGGAGCGGCGTGAAAAGGCTGGATCAACGCCTACGGACGCGGCGGCCCCACTTCCCCGAGTCGAATACCAACATGCTCCACTCCCGCTTCTTGGATCGAAAAAGGTGCCTAAACGCCATAGCGTGGCTGCGCAGATATGCGTCGTTCTGTACAACCCGACAGAGCCTCGCGTGAACTACTCGCGCAATGCTTTGCACCGCTTTTGCAGTGGATCTCCAGACTGGGGCTGGACGCGATTCCACGGTCCTTATTTTGAGATACCTCGCCGCATGCACGGCCAGCGAATGGCACTCCTCCGAGATGACAAGCTCGCATTTACCGCGTACATTCGCGTCGTCAATGACGAGACTGACTGCTTGTGGGAGCACCCTATCCGAGATAACATCTGGGACAGCTTTGCCATGACTGGACTGCAGGGTCTTGCGCTTGGAGAAGACGCCAGTTCGCCAGGTGGGAACATGATCTCAGCGGTTGCGACATGGATGCTCTTCAAGCCTTTTCGGCAATTCTTGTACAGTATAAACGTGCCGGACCCTAATGAGGAGCCGTTGGTTCGCCCAAAGCCGCTTGTCACTGCATTTCAGCAAGTTCTGTACATGTTGCGAACCCAAGTGGATCCAGGAGCCGGCGCAGTTGCTCTCGACGACATCCTGGATGCCCTTGATTGGTACGGTATACACGAAGGCCTCAACAAGCTAGATGTAATCGAGATGTGGGAAGTCCTACGGCTCAAGCTTGAGGAGGAGCTTCAGGATACGCCTCATCTGGCGAAGCTTCACGCTATCTGCGGGCCAAAGCGCGATCACTCGAGTAATGTTCCAAGTTATCGCGTGCCTGTAGTGGGTGTGGAGAGCATGCAAGAGGCTGTGAATAGCTCGAATGGCTTTACTGCTCCCGGGCAACCGCTACCTGAGCTGTTGACCATTGAGTTGGAGCGGCACGCATTCGATGGTACAAAAACCCGTTCTCACATCAAGCTGCTCAACAAAGTCACGCTAGATGACAACATCACAGTCAACGGCACTACGTACACTTTATACGGATTTGTAGTCCATAAACAGACCCTACAATCGTATGTGTATCAGCCAATCATTCGACCCGAGGGTCCCGGATCTCGTTGGTACAGCTATTCGGACAGCAAGGAAGAGAATCAAGTGAGGTGCCTCCCCAAACGTCTTGCAGTCGATGTGCACGAAGGCAAGCCCGGCACAGAACAGGTTGTTGGCAACGATCCAATCGCTTACATTGCGATGTATATACGCGACGACGTAGCTCAGTCGGCTTTTGTGTCAGACGCCGAGTCTGAACAATGGCAAGTACCGGAGTGGATCAGGCTAGAAATAGAGAACAGAAAGAGTTCCAGAGGCCCTACACCGATACCAACGCTGCCTACCGAGCAGTCGGTACCTGAAGCAAAGCCAACCGTAGAAGCAAAGCCGCCCAAGACATTGGAATTCCGGGTTATCGAATCCCGAGTGTTCCTCAAGCATGAAGGACCTGGTCTCTTTGATGCTTTTGACTCAAAATGGGCGGATACGGACTCTGAATTCATTCATACGGTCTCGTTTTCAGACCAAGATGGTTGCAAAGAGATCCGCGCCAAATTGATGGACACACTCACGGGCGTCAAAGATCCGCGACAAATCAAGTTCTGGTTTCTGGACCCAATGCGAGGATCACTCGGCAGGCCCAATCTTCTCGGTACTGGGAGGATCGAGTTCTCCGCTGGCAGCTACGACCAATACACTGACAGCAAGGAGTGGACGCTAGAGGAGTCCCCAGTCGCATATCGGAGGATATGGGTGCATGTCACCGATTACGAAAAGCTCCCTGAGCTGCCCACGGAAAAGGAAAATGAAGTGCCCGAGCTACCTGCAAACGATTTGCCTTCTTCTTCTTCAACTAATCAGGAGCCTCAAGAGAATGTAGTGAGCCCGCAGGTGAATGGAAACACTGCTGAACAGCCGTCGAATTCACACCCACCCCAACTACCTACAAGAGTAGAAGACACGCCTATGAGCGAGGTAGAGGAGCCTGTTGCTGCACAGATTGATCATTCCGAACCTCCTGTTAGACAACACGAAGATCCATTGCACACAGAGCCTGCTCAAACCGACGATACTGCTATGATCGAGGTAGAGTCAACTCCTGCGACCGATCCACCAGCTGTCGACGTGGTCATTCCGAGCTCAACGCCTGATGATACAGAGATGGGTGGCACGCAAGAGGAAGTACCGCCTCTCTCATCACCACCACCACCACCTCCTCCACCAATGGACATTTCCTTCGAAAATATACCGCCACCTCCCGAGCATATACAGCCACCTCCACCCCCACCAGCGCGCACCCCTTCGCCCAAGCCACCAGCAGACGAAATCTATTTCTTCCTCAAGTTTTGGAACCCAGAAAAGCAGGCTCTCGAATCCAAGGGTTCGCATGTCACTCTCAAGTCCCACAGAGTTGATGAGACGATCGTTGCTTTGCTTGGACTTCCGGTAGAAGAGAAGAAGAAGCTGGAAATATGGGAAGAAGAGGATATTGGTACTACGCGCGCTCTTAGGCACCGTCGCACGTTTACGCAACTTGATCTTCACAACACAAGCATCATCATTGCCGCTATGCCTATCAGCGCTGAACAAAAGGGCGCTCTTGCAGCCCGTGCTGCGTTTGCGGAACCCCAAGCATATTTAAAGTTCCGCTCTTTTGCTCGAAACTTTCCTCACAAGCTCAACGGTCACTTTACATACAACTACTTCTCGAGTGAATGCTACAAGGGCGAGATTGTCAACGGCTATCGTCATGGTCATGGAACTCTCATCTACCACTCTGGCGCCGTCTATAATGGCTCCTTCCGCCTGAATCAACGCCACGGCCACGGATTGTACACGTTCCAGAACGGAGATACGTATGATGGCGATTGGGTTGACGACCAGCAACATGGCACTGGCACGTACGTCGAGGCGACGAGCGGCAATACATATGTTGGTGGATGGCAAAACGACAAGAAGTTTGGCGAGGGCGTTACGCACTGGAAGAATGCCCAAGAGGCCGAGCGGCTTTGTAGAATTTGTTGGGACGGCGATGCTGAGGCTGCCTTTTACGACTGCGGACACGTCGTAGCTTGTCTTGCTTGCGCAAGGGAGGTACAGAGCTGTCCCGTCTGCAGGAAGAGGGTGCTGAGTGCCATGAAGCTTTACTATGTGGCTTGAACGGCGAACACAATCTTGCAAAGTTGTGTGGTCAAAGAGTGTTTATGTTTCTTTTTCCTCTTTTGGAGTTTGGAATTCGTTTAAGTTCAAGACAGAACTATCGGCCTCCTGAGCGTTGGGATGGCTCAGAGGAGGGGAATTGGATATTGGTGAGCAAGGGGCGTTTGGTTATGTTTTGTCTCTTTCTACACTCTCTTATTTTATCTATCTTTACTGCCGCCTTACACCCACAGTGCTAGCCTGCACTATCTTGTATATTCTAGCCCTCTTGAATTCATAGTCAGGATGCTTTGGGGAGTAAACGGTCAAAGTCTGTGGGGGGATTGCGACCTGTGGGAACGGTTTATATTTGGTCAATACATATATATTTATATTCGACTAATGTGAATTGTCATGGAAAACAGTCAAGTATCCGTGTATTTTGTGAAAGAGTTTTGTACGGGCCCATGGAAGCCTTTTCAAATATGTTCAAGTAGTAACCAAGTCCAAAAGTTAATTACACTATCGATTCACATATCTACACAGTATACAAGACAATCTCCGTCCGCCCAGTCCCCAACTCAACCACACCACCCTCCTCCTCCTCCTTCCCATCCACCTTCCACCCCCTCGGCACCCTCATCTCCCCTTCAACTCCCTCAGGAACCACAATCTCAACCCTCGCCTTCTCCCCCTCAACCCTCCACCCCACCACCAACGCCCCAAACGGCGTCGGCACCCTCCCCTCCACACTCTGCAACCCCAGATACGCCACCGCCGGCTGCACAAGCACCCGCTTATACCCCGGCGTGACGGGCGTAACACCCAGTAGATACTCGGGCAACACATACGTCGGCGCCGCCCCCCAGGGATGCGCCAAACTGGTAAATCCCGTGATTCCGGGCCGTCCATCGGGTTTTACGTATTCCCAACTCGCACCGCTGGCGTAGCGCTCATCGTTTACCATGCTCCCCCAGAGGCCATCTAGGAGATGCGTAATACCCGTCTTTGCGGCATCGATGCCGTGTGCCTGTTGGGCTTGGAATAGAGCTTCGAGGAGGAAGCCGGAGGGGTTGGGGGCGAGTTGGTAGTCGGGTGTTTCGGCGTCTGAAGAGGTGGTTTTGTAGCCTGCGCCGAAGCGGAGGCGTTCGAGTTGCTCGAGGGAAGAAGTGATTTGGGAGGTGTTGGCTGCGCCGCTGAGGATGGACCAGGCGAGGCCTGTTAGGGAGAAGTTGCCCGGGGAGGAGAGGGCGAGGGAGTAGGTTCCTAGGGCGGGGTTCCAGAGGTGAGTGTTTAGAGCGGCGTTGAGGGAGTGGGCGGTGGTGTTGGCCAGGGAGGCGGTGGCTGTGTCTTGGAAGGCGAGGGCTAGGGGAATGATTTGTTGGAGGGCGAAGGACATGAGGCCCGTTACTGCGGTGCCGTTTGCGGGGCCGAGGAAGGAGCCTGCGGTGGGTGCTTCGGGGCTTCCGGCTACGAGACCGGTGCTTGGATCTATGTAGGTGAGACGGGCTTGGAGGAGTGCTTTGATGTTTTCCCAGTACGGCTCTAGGCCCTTTGCGTCACCAGTGTAGCGGTAGTATTGGCCGATTGAGGCGAGGAAGAGGTCTTGGTAGTCGACTAGACCGGGTCCTGCTGGGTCTGCGTCCGAGTATTCTGGTCGCGTGCCCAGGCGTGCGGATATGGGCACGAAGCCGGCGAAGGGCCCGGATTTTGCCTGGTAGCCAAAGGCGTAATCGATGGATCCGAGGATGTAGTCCCAGCGGGTGCTCGATTGAGCCAGTACGCGGACAGTGTGGTAGAAGTCTCCGATCCAGACTAGACGGTCGCGCTTTGCGCCATCTAGACAGACGGAGTGGGCGAGCGGTGCTACGGCGTACTCGGCTAGGACGCTGGGAGATTTCATGTCGTTGGTGTAGATAATGGTCTTGTTGGATGCGGCGACTGATACGTTTGAGACGATACTGATTTGATCTTGGAAGCCTCCGAAACCCCATGTGCCTTCATACCGAGACGCCGTGCTGAAGAAAACAGGAGGTGATAGTGGCGGCGGCAGTGGGACAAAAGCAACGTTCTCTCCGTTGAGACTGATGCTGTATCCATCCTCTTTGATAGCCGTAACGACGTGGTACCACTTGTTCTCTTCCACTGAAATATTCAGAGGGTAATACTCATTCGCAGGCGTTTCTAGAGTAGACTGATTGAGCAAGTTCCAACCAGCATTGAAGATCAGAGTATTAGGCGGAACCAGCGTTCTGTTCGTGTTTACAAACGTATTTTGCTCTGGATAGTTGGAAGTCAAGACGAAATACGGTCCGAGTGGTTGGATCGCGCTAGCTATACGCCACCCTGTTCCGCCTCTTACAATCTTTGTATCAAACTCCAGTGTGTAGTTGGCAGCGCCCATTACACGCCCGATAGAGGATTGAGCGCTGGCCTGGCCGCGAATGTATGCTCCCTCGTCGGTTAGCTCCCAGGTCGAAGGCGCATTGCCGGCATCCACACAAGCCGCTTGGACGACTTGTCCACCAAGATCAAAGATTTTGTTGTAAACGTCGTGACTGGTCTTTAGATGACCTGGTAGCTGATCCACATCTTGGTGCTCGCTTGTTGCCCGGAAGCCAACGCTCTTGATGGTCAAAGAATGGTTCGTAAGCAGACGGATGGTCTGCCATCGCTGCCCACCTTGCACAAAGAAGCTCTCAGTGTGACCTCCACTGGTGATGTTGAATGTCTCAACCCGCCAACTGTTCGCCAGGCCGTTGGAAAAAGTCCATGGTCCATCAGCATTTTCGTCGTCCAGGTATGCAAAGGCCTCTGTATATGCAGCCTCAATTTGTGCTGGGGATGCGCCTTCTGCAACGACAAAGAACGGGAAGCCAGCAACCTCAGTACCGTAGTCGAGCGTGAGGACGGAATGCGCAGGTGACAGCGTTATTTCGGTAGTATTGTCGTAACTCAGGTCAGCTACTTGAACATCTCCGCTGAGCGAGTATCTCCTTGGATAGACGTTGCCATAGTCGACGAATCTATGGTTTAACATCAGTTGGTAGTAGTGTAAATGCTTTTTCCGGCACTGCTTACGCGTAGGCAGCCTGACCCCAAGTGCAAGCACCCAGTAGGTACATATTGAGGTTGACCATCATGGAAATCTGCGCCAGAATGCAAATGCTGGCTGCCACCATGAGCGAGCCCTTAGATGCTTTTTAACATAATGTTTATCCCTGTAAACAAGCCATCGGGACTTTGCGCACTGTTGAATGCCCGATGGTGGGCACACTGTCTATTGGTTAAGGATACCCCAGACATGCACTCCGCATCTACCGATCGCATTACGGGGTCCCCAGATTTCTGGATTTGGACTACCTCGTTGCTTGCATGATGCCGTCATGTAGGCTTTAGGGGGCTGGGCATAAGAAAGTTTACACACTTCGCCTTGATGTTCTACCGAGGTCGCATTAAATAGGCCCGATGATCAATGTTCATTGGCGCCACAAAGTCTTAGGGGTTACCTGGATCCAGGGGCTTCGGCGGTTGTGGCTAGAGCGGTGAAAAAGTAGTAGTGAAAGTGGATTCAGAATGCGGAGACAAAACTGGGCACAAAGACGGAATGTGGAGAGCAGACCCGGAGAAGCCGGGATTTGGAGAGGAAAAACTGTTGTTACGAGGAAATCAATAACAGGTAATTTTGGAGTTGATCAGATCAATCTCAATTACGCAGCAAGACCCTGTCTGAACTTCAGATACTCCTTTCGGTATTGGTTCTCATCCGTCTCTTTGCCCCTGTTGAGTGGCGTCCACTTGGGCTCATCTTTGAACAATCGCATAGCTTTGGTGTACTGTAATGCAATATTAGCACTGCACTTTTATTTGGTCCCAAAGGTTCCGTGTTCTTAACTTACGTTGTTCTCATCAGTGGTGAAGCGATGATAGATGCCGCTCGGCAAGATGATCAAATCACCCTTCTCAAGCCAAATCCTAACCCAGTCGTCTCCCTCACTCCGGACATCAAAGTAACCCGCACCGTCAAGAATGTAGCGAATCTCCTCGTCCTCATGCAAATGCTCACTGAAGAAAGTCTTCACTTTTTCCTCGTAAATGTCGCCCATCTTTTCGGGGCTAATGGTAACCTCATCTCGGTTCTTGTAGTTGCGAGATGTGGCAATCTCGTCAACCCCAGAGACTTCGGGGACGTGGTGGTAGACGACGCCTAGCTTCTCCAGATAGTCTGGATCTACCGAGCGACCGGAGTCATGAGGTAGGCGTTGGTCGCCCTGACGAAGTAAGTCATGTGTTTAGCTCGTGGAAGACGGAACAGTGCGAACTTACTTCAAGGTTATCGAACCAGTATGCCTTCATTTTCCAGTCAACAGCAGTATAGAAGATTATGATTATTCTGAAGCGCGCAGTGTGTAGTGGCGTGCAGCCTTAGTTGGCTTTGATGTTGTTGGGCTCGCCGGCAAACAGCGAGGAATAATTTGAGATGCCCAATTGCACGTGGCGAATGGCGTCATTCCGATTACCCAGCGACAATCGGCTAGCTAATCTAACATTGCGCAATATCGACTCCTCACTACACAGCGCTCTTCCTGCAAATTACCCTTCGTCAATGTCGTTTCATGCGGACTACAATACAACCTGTTGCCAGGAGATGCCATTACAGCACCGGGTTATTGTCCTGTCATATAATACAATGTATAAAAGGATAACGTGAATGCGCCGACGCATACCCGTCCCATTACTTGCCCGAGTGTGCAATTCGAGCCCCCTTGTGAGGTGAGCACGAGAAACACCGGCTGAGATGCACGCGCATCAAAACGAAAAACAATTACCATGACCCCATACATTTCCCATCATTCATGCTGTCCACATCGATTCCAGCCCGCTGCATGATGATGCTACAAGGGATGGAAACCCCAGGGTATGTCCAACTAAAAATGCCAATAGTTCACGCGAAATGATGGAGGTTCAACTATGCGAGGTGAAGTCACAGTTACTAGGTCCACAAGAGGCTATCTTGCAAAGACCTTTACTATGCCATCGCCACCTGCCGAGACAACGAGACGGCCGTCCTGACTCCAGACGACACTGCACACGCCTTCGCCACGCATGATGCGATGTGCGGTGATTTCTTGGGTACAAATACGCTTGTCGAGTGACCAAAAGCGGATGGAAGCGTCGTGTCCAGCAGAAACAGCTTCGCGACCATCTTTGCTGAGAGAAAGAGAAGAGATGGCAGCGGGGTGCGCGAGCATGCTGTATGTACACTGGCCTATAACTGACATTAGAGAGGGTATCTTGGTAAACATCTGGGGTGAACATACCAGAATTGGCATCGAAGAATCTGATGAGATGATCTTCGTGCCCACTTATAATGACGCCTTCAAGGCCGCCGCTGCTGTTTGATCCGGTTGGACCATGTATCCCTTCTTCCTCAGAACCGCTACGGCCTCCCTCTTGTGGTGGACCTTCGAGGTATTGGGAGCTTGTCACGACAGATGTAATACCAGTCGCTGGTGTGCCATCGTAGGACTCGTTACTGGCCATACCGATCAACTCTTCGCCTGTTCTTGTGTCATACACTAGTATCGATGCATCTGTGAAAGAAACAACGAAATTCTCGCCAGTAGGGGAGATCGGGCTGATGCATGTAGGCGAGGGGTGCGTGTCGCGCTCAATAGTGTGGATGAGCATGTAATGGAATGGTGTACTGGTAGCAATGCTCGGCTGTGGCGATGATGGGTGGTTCGATCCGGAAGTAACTGAGTGCCTTCGACTACCACCAACACCACGGCGTGACCCAGTCTGAGGCGATACCAACTGGGGCGGCGCACTAACTGCCCAAATCTTGATGGTTCCATCTGCAGAGCCAGAAGCCAGTATCACTCGGTCTGCGCCGCCATACTTGCTGCTGTCGGCTCCGAAGACATTTCCGCAAGTGGTGGGGAGAACACACACTGTCCAAACAGCATCGGTGTGACCTTCCAGGGTGGCTTTTGGATCGACGCGGCCTCGCTCCCACACGCGAACTGTCGCATCTTGGCCGCCCGAGAATATCCAGCCGTCGCCCGATACCCTGCCACCAGTTGCGAAATGGGCAGAGGCGGGGCAAGCAGCCAGCGATGTCACAGCGCCTTCATGACCTCTGTGCGACCAGAAGGGTTGAATGTCCAAATCATTGTTCATGGTGTGCTGACTCGCATAACTTGCAGGTATCATCCATCTCTTAATCATACCATCATCTCCCGCTGTGCAAATTTCTGGTTCGCTGGGACTGCCGCCTCCCGTGAAGATGACGGACCGCACAACATCCAGATGGCCACGAAGGGCGAATCGGACCTTGAAACTTTGCGGATCCGCCTTTGAGGCCGCTTGGGCAGCGACTTGCTGGGCCTTGTGGTCACTGCTCAGTCGTCTAGTGTGATCTTTACTTGTTCTCTTGGCTGGCCGGGGCGGAGATTTTGCGGGAATGCTGTTTGCGGACGGAAACTCCTCGACATCTGGTCTCCTTGGTGGCCCTTCCTGGGCTACATCCGACGCAGGGTCAAAAATCCACTCGTCTGACTCCTTTTCCTGGGCTGGCACCTGATTTGCTCCTGCAGTATCTTCCTCTTGGCCTGCTATTTGACGGCCTGCGTTGTCAAAAGCGTGCGTCACCTTCTCAACCTGCTCATCAGGCACGGAAGAATAGTGTTGCTGGTTTGGGGGTTGACGTTGCTGTCCAGAAAGGTCCTGGGTCAAACTTGGGTTCTGAGCGAGTGGCTGTTGCTGGGAAGGCTCTCGAGCCATCTGCGGGGCATGGTGGATCTGGTGCTGGGGGGGCAAGTTCTGTAGTTCAGAAGTGACGGGAATGTTAGGGGGCTGGTAGTTGGGCAGGGGTCCCGGCATGGTGGGAAGGTGCGACTGCAGCCTCTGGCGATGTTGTTGTTGCAGGTAGATGTCTTCCATAGAGGCATCTCCATGGCCCATGAATCCAGTGCCGTTTGCGAGGGCTTGCATGCCCTGCTGCTGGGGCTGGGGTTGGGGCGGGGGAGTAAGGAGATATGTAATCTCTTCAACGCATTTTGTGAGGTAGAGCTTCGACTTTTCCCGCAGACCATCACGATCAGCCTCGGAGCGGTCGAGGAACTCGGAGTCGACGTCGAGGAAGGAGTTGTGCTTGGTGTTCTGGGCTGTATTGACATGTCAGTATACCAGGGGCCCGCCATGACATGTTTATTGTGTACGCACGTTTGGTCAGGCCGGCGCCAGTCTTTTTGCCCTTGGGGTCGTTCTTGTCGTCAGCAGCGTCGCCGCCTGCAGCGTTGGCCTTATTTTTCCTCTCGTTGGTGAGGGCCTGCTCGAGCATGCGGATGTGCTTGTTGAGTTGGTCGTTGAGCTTCTTCGCACTGCGGACCTCGCCTTCCTGCTTTGCAATCTTGGCCTTCATTTCTGCGCGCTCAATGTCCCAAGCATTGCGGGCACGCTCGTGGTTGTGCCATTCGAGCTGGAGAAATCGCATAACACCTGGCCGTTGGGTTAGCCCACTACTGTCCCGCCGGCGAAGCGCTACCAGTCGAGGATAAAAGAAGACAGCATACCCTGCAGAGTATATTCGGTACCGGCGGGCGCATTCCCGTCAGCGCCTCCATTGGCACCGCTGCCGTTCATGGCCGAGGGCGATTGCCAGGCCATGAGATGGGTACGGAAATCCTGTGGCGGCGCACTGAGCAGTCTGTGAGGGTCAGAGCTGGTGTTGGCATGCGGCGTCGGGGGTCGGCAACTGCGCGGTCGACGTGTCGCTAACAGAGAATCTCTCCCACTTCAGGGCGCAAGTGGGGGATAGGGAGGCGGAGGGGGGAGGAGGCTGGAGCTGGAGGAGGAGAGAGCAGTGAATATGGGGTGGATGCGCTCAAGCAGCTGGCTTCGAGAGCTGCAGCAACATGCACATGGCGATTCCGTTGCACAGGGGAGGGTGCCATGCAGTGGTAAGGTAGCGCCGGGGCGGGACCCTGGCGCACGGGCCCCATCACCAACGCTGCGAACAGATGGAGCGTCTTCACAGTGCTGCCAACATGCACAATGCTCCCATTGCACATGCCCAGTTTGAGCATGTTGTCTATCCACTCAACAGCGTCACACTAGCTACTCCAAGTCTTCTTGTCACCATTTTACTCGACCTACCTCCGTCAACGCTCTGTATATCAGCCAGGAGCTGCCTACGCAAATCCACGCCTGTCCCAAACCGGCACCTGGATGTACTGGCTAACATGTCCATGGCACAATTCCAGCCAGCTTGATTCACTTGTGAGTCTCTTTTCTCATTCTTCCTATCCCCTCTCCCTATCTCCTTTCTTAATTATGTCATCTCCTGTCCAAGCTTTACCAATTTTCCTTTCTCATCTGTGCATTTTGTACATATGTTACGTCACTCGACACAACATACACTGTCACCCCTCAATTACCGGCCCTCCAAGCCTGATCACATAACTGACATATCACCCAGTCATGCGTTGATACAAGATGACCTGAACCTTCCAGTAAGCTTGCGCGGCGCTCAGCCCAGAACAGGAAGACACTTTGGGCTCAAGCCTTGAGTGCGAGCAGTATCCAGCACTTGCATATCCAACACTTGCATATTGCATAGTGCTCACTAGGCCATTGGATTCTGCCCTGTTTCTCTATTTATTGGCTGGTCATCGCTTGGTTCTGTTTTGATGCTCTCTGTTCGCAGCTAGCATTGTGCTGGGAATTGCACGACGAGCCGGCCCAGCGCATGCACACCAGCCACCAGCCACCCACCCCCAACCACGGCTAACAGGCATCATGTCACACGCAAATCACCGAAAGAGCCAGGGCAGCACCCATCTTACTGTGGCACAGGCGACTATTTCACGCGCAGTCCTGTGATCAGATACCAGGGCTTGACTTTCGCTCATGCCAAGTGGAGCCTTCCCGATTGGTACAAAGGCGGTCGACGCTACGACCTTGTCACAACATTGGAACCTTCCCAGGCAAGACTTTACCACATTCACCCCACCCCCCGCCAACCACCACGACATCGAATCCACCTCCAGACTCCGCCAACCGGGTCGCGCACATTCGCACATACTATTGATCCCAACATAGCCCTAAGATATATCTCCAGACATGGCTGGCGGTGGTAAAGGTACGCGCTGACTTGCCGCGCGCCCTGCAACATCGCAATGGGCTGACAAAGATGCATAGGAAAGACAGGAGGCAAGACTGGTGGAAAGGGCGATTCGCAAGTCAAGACCCCAAAATCGCACTCCGCCAAAGCCGGCCTTCAAGTGAGTTGATGCCCTACACGCGTCATCGCCCGACGACACCCCGCCCATACTTTGACAGCTTGCGCACAGGGACGACGCGCTAACATGACTCCTCCTCTACAGTTCCCTTGCGGTCGCATAAAGCGTCACCTCCGGAATCTCACGCGCCAGAAGACGCGCATCGGTGCCAAAGCCAGCATCTATCTGACTGCCGTTCTTGAATACCTGACTGCTGAGGTTCTCGAGCTTGCAGGCAACGCCGCCAAGGATCTCAAGGTCAAGCGCATCACGCCACGCCATCTCCAGCTCGCCATCCGAGGTGATGAAGAACTCGATACACTTATCCGTGCCACCATTGCCTTTGGAGGTGTTCTGCCGCATATCAACCGTGCCCTATTGCTCAAGGTAGAGCAGAAGAAGAAGAGCGGAGGTGCTGCCAAGGTCGGCGAGGCGTAGAGGGCTAATTCCTCCGGAAGCGTGCAGGCAAAAGATGTCAAATGGGCGGCTAAGCGAATCGATTTTCGAGCTTGCAGAGCATGCGACAGACCCTCGAAGCACAAGAGCCCCAAACCACCTCCAGTTTTGCTTAGCTTCTATGAGCTATTTTACCCCGAAAGCCGCACTTCTTTTGCTGAGATTTTGAAATGTCAGGATAAGGGTGTCAACTGTCTTTGGTTAGGCTTGCGCAGGAACGGTGTTGATGGTCATGTCCTTTTTTTTCTTTATCATTTCGTGGTATGTAGTAACACGTTCGAGTCAATGTCACAGAATAGCAGGGAGAGTCGGTTTGGTTTGCCTCTACAATCATGAAAGCTCCGTCTTCCCAACGGAAAGCGATCAAACCGCAGAGACTTCAATCACACAAGCGTGCAAGCGAATGCCATGCTGCCCAAGCAAACAAACGATAACACGCTATCAAAGCTTGCAGGTCCGGGTCGTGGCAGCAATCACGAGTCCAGTCGAATTCCGAGATTGGGTCGCACGAATATGTATCATTCCGATATTTCGTTTCCCAAGTCAAGCGGTACTGCATGATTCCGGGCCGGAAGAAAAGGATATTAAGCGCAGTAGTCCACGTCAAATTCGTGAACATCCCATTTTCTTTCCTCTGCATCTCTTCTGTTCTTTCTGTATGAAGGATTGAATTAGCTTTTCCAAACGAGCGTTCTTACCTCCCTTGCCCGTCTTGATAGACACTGCATAGCAACTAAAAAAGACACAATGTTCGATCACTTATTCGACCCTGATGCTTTCCACCGTCACTCCATCCCACCAGCCTTCTCACGCACAAACTACATTGTATCAGGTGCATCTCGCGTACAACTCCCCTCGTTCATCCCCAGAGATCACCGACACGCCCACCCAATGACACCTCACCAGCATCAGCACCATCATCACCCGCGTCCGGCCCGCCGCTACTCAATCTACGCAGATCCTTCGCCCACCTCCTCAGACTTCGATCAAACAGAAGACACCTACCTGCAATCCGAATCCGACTCCAGTCTCACCCACGTAAAACACTCACCCCCCAGAAACACCAATGCCAACAACAACGCCAACAACAGCAGCAGCAGCAATGTACTCTCACCTCTCCACCGCACATCCTTCAAACTACCCCATACCACATTCGCCAACCTCCCATCCACCCACACTTCCTCCTCCATCCTCATACTACCCCCTACCCTAACACCACTGCACATCCGCATCGACACTCCCTCGTCCACACACCAGCTGCGCGCCACGGTAGCAGGCGACATGCGCTTCCGGGACGTAGTAAGCCAGCTGGTGCAGCAGGGACAGTATGCGGATGTGAGAGCGAGTGTAAGGTTGAGGGGGGAGTGGCAGGAACCCGGGTCTAGTGTGAGGATTAGTGAGGTGGTGCGGCAGTATGCGGTGAATGAACGGGGGGAGGTGGAGGTTAGGATTGAGGTTGGGCGTGGAGGAGGAGGGGAAGGGGGACGAGAAGGAAGAAGGGGGGGAGGTGGGTATGTTGGGGGGACACGGGGGTTTAGAGCTTGGGAGAGGGAGACGGGGCGGGCGTGGGAGATTAGGGATTGAGATTTGTTTTCTTCTTTCCTTTTTTTTGTTTCTTCCTTTTCAGTGACGACATAGGCGATATAGAAAATTGGTAATGAGATCAAGTTTCCTTCTAAAGTTTAAACATTCTTGATATGATAAAAGTTCCTAATACATCAATCGATTCACTCCTCTTTTTACTCCACTGTCTTGGACGTCATGGCTCGCTGCCTTTGCCCGGAACGCCAAGCCTGATCTAATGTGTTAAATGGTGTAGGTAATATGCCCAAGGGCACAAAAGGTACATGAAAATACCCAAAGAAATCAACCCTCCCTTTTCAGTCAAGTGCCGAATTGGGAGTAAAAACAAGCCATGTTCTGCACCCGAAACCACGCAAAATGCCACAAATAAAGGACCCAGAGTCATTTTCCTTCATGTCTGATAGTATTCGTCGTGCTCCTTTGACAGCCTCTATGACTTCAAGCTGTCCTGCATGCTCCTGCTGCTGGCGCTGAGCGGGATGTTGCTGGTGGGGAGAACCGTCTTGGGCTGGCTGTTCTGTCGGATCTTGGCTAGCGCGTAAACCAGACCGCTGACGAAACCGACAAAGATGGCAGAAACACTACCAAAGGTGACGGGCGCATCGAAGAAGATCAGACCGCTGAGAGCGATGGGGAGTTTGTTCAAAGCGCCAACCATGGAGTACGTGGTAGACGAGGTGACACGGACAGCCCAGGCGGAAGTGTATGAGATGAAGACTGTGGAGAGACCAGACACGATCATGACGGTGATGACGGTGTTGCGCTGGTCAGGGGGAAAGTTCTTCTGGATGTTCGCGGAGGACCAGTCTTCGACGAGGATCGAGGCAACCAACAGGATAGGAATGGTGAGGAGGTTGTTGTAGTACATGGCTGATTAGAATTAGCAGACCGCTCATTGTAGCGAGCCAGAATAAACTCACTGTCAAAGTCCTTGAAGTTGGTGAGCTTGATGCGCTTGCGCATACCCAAAACATAAGTAGCCGTGCACAAGCAGTTGAACATCATCCAGAGGTAGCCAGCGTGCAGAGTGGACATGGCGTCTGTGGATGCGCTTGTAGACTGTCCCATGCTTGACAAAGCGTGCTGAATGTCTGCCCAGGCCGCGATGACGGAGCTGAAGACCATCAATCCGAAAGAAAAGAGCGCCATTGGCGTGACAGCACCTCCGAACCAGAGAACCTCTCCGTATGCGATCAAGATGATGGTAAGGTTCTTGAAAATGGTGTAGACGGGAATCGAGAGGAACTTGAGAGCCCAGGTGCTCGTATAGATCATACCGATGAGGAGAAGAGAGATGGGAAACCCTGCTGCTGTTAGACCAAGTTTGAGCCGCGAAGTATGATAAACGTACATTTCTTTGCTTCATCGCTGTTGAAGTCGCGGTATGTGATGATACCAGCGCTCTTGCATATCGAAATTGCTGCAACGCAGACAACAGACTGTTGTGTGTTAAAAAGAATCCGTCTTGTAGGCTATGAAGCCGACATACCTGTACGCAGAGAAGGAAGAAAGGGAGGTTGAAGTCAACGCCAGAGAGGACGTATTTGTTCGTAACGGTCATCAGAATGGAGGAACCACAGTAGGCCAGGATGGCAGCGACTGGGTTCTCCGTTATGGACGTGGACCCGCCCCGATGTGAATTGGACGCGCGAGGCAACGGGGAGGGCGCGCGGAACTCCTTGCCCGAGGGCATGTCGACCCTGTAGTCGTCGCTCTTCTTGTCGTCGGACATTATGAAAGAGAAGAAATGTGTTCACAATAATCGGAGGTGGTATGCGGCAACGACAGGAAAGTCCAGCGATAAGGACAGCTATGTAGCGGCGACGGTGCGACCACAGAAAATGTGGTTGTTGAGGGGAGGAAAGGAAAGAAGCAAAGAGAGAACAGGAGGGTGGGACCTAGGAGGGAGAAGGCGAGCGTTACTAGAAGGATGTGCAGGGACGCGAATGGGGTGGGTCACAGCGATGCAGTCTCCCCTGGTTTGGAGTCGTTGGCTTACAGCCGTGGTAATTTCAAATGCCACTAAACTGCCTTTGAACACGAGAAAACCGTATGTACATGTCAGCACCGCAACCCGCACCCGGGCCTGCATCCGGCTCTATTTTTGGCCTCAGAAATAAACTATATCGTACAGCTGTGATGCAGGACTTGTGTTAAGAAGAGTACATCTAGCGCTGCGTTTTCAGCAAATACTTGCCTCACTGAGATACTTGAATACATGGACGGATGATCTTCACTGGGGGTTCTTTATCGCCACGTGACCTGTCTTATCGCACCGCTACTTTCTTTCCCCTGATTGACCGCTCAACAAGTGACCTGGGCAATTTCCGAAATGGCGGCTCTTGACCCAAAAGTCGCTTCGCTCGTCGACAAGGCTGCACGAGAAGATGATTCGGACGAGGATGCACTTATCGCCTCCCTGGAAAATGACGAGGAGTTAGATGCATTCCGCGAGCAACGACTTCAACAGTTGCATCAAGAGTACGACAAGGCGCGACGATTGAAAGAGAGCGACCATGGGACATACTCTGAGATTAAAGATGAGAAGGTTTTGATGGACATCACAACAAGCACTAAACTATGTGTGGTGCATTTTTTCAAGCCCGACTTCAATCGCTGCCGCATCATGGATACTCATCTCGAGGTAAAAACCACTCCCTATTACAATCAGACTGTTTTGCTGAAACCAAACAGTCACTGGCCCCTTCACACTATGAGGCCCGATTTCTCAGGATCAACGTTGATAACTGCCCTTTTCTTGTCACTCGTCTGGGTATCCAG